TTTTAATTAAAGCATACATCATTGGCGTCGCATGTTTTATAACATGTTTTATAACGAACAAAATAATAATATTTAAAAATAAAAATAATATATTATTCGAAAATATTCTTACTTTGATATAATACTTTATTTGTATAAAAAAAATTTTTTGTCTACAATATCAAAAATAGAACTAATTGGCTAGTAATTAAATAATAATAATAATTAATTCGCGAAAAAATAAATAAAATGTAATATATAATATATAATTATAAAACAATCCATAAATATCCATGATAAGTATTCATGAATCGTGTGCAATTTCAATCAATATTATCTCTGAAATAATAATAATAAAATTAATATATTCTTATATCCAACATTGTTGACGTGATTTCACTAAAATAATTCTCATGATGTTATCTCTCATTCTTAAAATGTTATATCAATCTGTTTTATTTGTAACAATTAATTTATAATATTTATGTGTATAATATGCATATTCTCTTTCATTTTCCGAACTTTTTCTTAAAGAAATGCCGTTTCAATCTCAAAAACCATTCAAATTTCTTTACAATTCTAATTATTTATAATTTTAACTTGAATATGCCATGTATGAGGTTACTGAACTGGCGATCGATAGCGAAAGCGAGTTTAACAAACTATTTATAATTAACAGAGAACAATATAAAAAAAGAAATAAATAATTTGATAATAAATGCAAAATATATGCAAAATTATTATTTAATATAACATAATAATAAAATCTTAAAAAAATTTTATAATTTTGATTATTCTTATTTCTGATATTAATAAATCGCTATTTTATTTTTTCATTTTATAAAATTAAAAACATTATTAAATGATTGTGTGTCTCGAAAGTATATAAAATAAATAGGATATATTTAGAAATGCAAAATATTATAATAGATAATAAATTCTTGAATATAAGCATCTCTGCGTCACTATTAAAACCGAAAGTTTTGTCGCACTATCGCGTCGATGGCAAGGTTGCTGCCTTATTGATCCAAGCGTCTTGGCGCTCGGCACCGGTCTATCTCGCGAAAGGAGCCAACTTGTATGTCGACAAAAACATAAATGTACATATACGTTAAGTTTGTGTATAATGCAATGCGTCTATTTAATCTGGAAACAATAAAAGTGGATGTCTTTGTATTCGCAATATTTCTTTTTCTTTTTTTTTTTATAGGTTATATTCATTATTCTTCTAATTATCATATTTGTGAAGTGACATGAAGTGACAAGAATCATAGATGATAAATAATATAATTTTTGCTATTTTATGATTATTAAATATTAAGAATTTGTTTAATTGTTAATTTAATTTATTAAATTTCTCTAATAATATTGTCATCGATCAATTATTCTATTTTATAAATTGTGTTTTAGCAAATAAATAAAAATTAAATATTTATATCTTACTGTGTAATCGAAAATAGATTTATCTTTTAAAAATTAATATTTTCAATAATTAGTAATTTTCAATTATTTATTACTATTAATTATTACGGATATTTAAATGTAAATAACACAGATTATATTTTAAATAATTATAATTTTGCTAAAACATATTCTTTCTATATATATATATAATAATATATATATATATTAATTATTACTTTCAACATAAAATCGAAGCATGGGAACGAGAAAATATATCCCGGTATACAATCATTTGTTATAAATACCGATACCCTTTCCATTTATAAGTAAATAAGTTCTTCTTTTTTACAAATAATTTCACTGATTACACCATTTTTCATAATTCATGAGAATTTTTCGACTAATAAACAATTCAATGAATGATTTTCTAACGACATCAAATAATATCGCATGTTTCGATTCGGTAAAAGTTTATTAACGAAACTATTTCAGATAGATTGACCGATTGTTCTTTTGAACATGATGAAGTCAATAGGAACATAGAAGACTTACATTAATACGATGATTCTCGACGATAATTTGTACATGGAAAAATCGTACGGCACTGGTACGTTTGTAAAAGCTAGAGAGACAGAGATGTATAAACGGGCTGCGTCGGCGAATCAATAGTTCGTCGACACTACGTACAACCTGAAGTCGGAAAAACCACACAGGGCTTGATTTTACGAGCGAGTGCACGCTCTCTCGTCGGCCAAACGAAAAGCATGTGTACATATATATACACGAGAGAATCACGGATCTTCCGTTTCATGTTAAATGTCTCTGCGAGCTGTTCGCGAGACCAGAATGGTTTCCGCGAGCAAAAATAAACTGCGGGTGTTGACTGGCATTTTTACCAGTGCCTTTTATCCCGGTTAGAAGATATAGACTACTTGGAAAAGGTTGAATGGATTTTTTTCGAGGAAATATCAAAAATATTTCGATTCAATGATCTATGTACGAATACGAATATAGATTATATGTATACAATTCTATCGGATCTTTTCCTAACATAGTTTTCCCGAGGGATAAATTTGAAACTTGTTACGAAGTTTAAAAGTTTTACGTTAAAAGAAAAATGAAAAATTGATAAAACGATTAAATAATTATTAAGAATAAAGGAAGATATTGATTGATTAGCAAGAAATAAATATAATATAAAAAATATTAAATTATAAAATTTTTATATCTTAATATTATAATTAATATTATAAAAAAATTATAAAATATAAAACAATTATATCAACGTTGATTAAGAATTTTATCTTCTAAAAATTTCATTTGTATTTTCAGTATATACAAGTGGTTGAACATGAGTACACTTATTGTCGTCTGTTTGTTTCACCGAGAACTTGATGGCAAAATTAGTCGAATGGAAGTCGGTCAACCGAAATGCAGATTACCAGTATTATTCTCACAACGTAAATAGACACTGGGAAGCCAGGTGCGAGCCACAGTCGTTTTCGCGGCAGTTAATCGCGAATGGAAATTGGAACAGTTTGTCGGATCGGTATTGACCCTTTTCCTGTCTCTTTTTCATTCATTTCATACAGGTGCAAAAATGATTCGTATTGTACTGAGTATATTATATCATTTGATGTATTATTGCAATTTTTTGTGCTTACATTCAAAACTTTGAATGATAGTAAACATTCAGACGTTAATTTCTGAAAATATTATGTTTGATTTAATATTTATCAACATTTTTCTATTTAATACGACCTATAAATAAATCGCTTTTATAACTTTCTCTAATTTTCCAAATAGATTCCAACATAATCTTCAAGTTTATATCTCGAGTATATCTGAACGCAAGGCCACAAACTGAGTATGATTTATGTTAGTTTAACATGAATTCCTCGCGTTTTCTTAACGTTCTAAGAAAGTGTTGAGAAAATGCGGCATATTATGTAACGTTACGTATAATTACTGTTTGGTCACATCACATATGTTAAACCGAATATGTTGCGCACCTTTAGAGTTCGTTTATACGATGGAAAAGACAAATGTTTGTCGAGTAAACCGAGCACGATATATACCTGGCCTCTCGGACCACGACGAGCCAGCCACTGTGGATATTTTCTCTCTTCACGTGTCCAGTTCGTTTTCAACGAAGAAGAAGAAATCAGCTATAGAAACCGGGCGAGTTTCGCTCCTTATGAATGCAGGAAAATCATTTTCCCTTCGTGAAAGCGGACAATTACCATTTTTCTCGACGGCTTAATCGCATGATGGGCTCGATACTGTAATTAACAAAGAAATCGCCTTTTAATTGGACCAGCAGTGGAACGACTGATCCGAGCGACAACATCTCGGCAACATGCACGCAACTGTATACGAATTTGCCTTTATTAGAATGTGTTCGAACGGAATAACGAGAGAAGGAAACACGATTCCATCGAGTTCGCCCGATAAGAATAGCGGCCCCGATTAAATCGGAACTGAATCTTGAACTAAACTCATCTGAACGATAAGATCTTCCATTTGGACGATGTTTGTTCCCATTGAGACGAATTCGTGCTACGCTGCCGGAAAATGTCGGAGATATCGATTTTACCAGGAGCGTAGTTCCGCGCCGGGGATACAAGATTTTGCGACGCTTCGTGCTTTTGTTCTTTATCAGATATTTCTCTACACGTTTGATTACAAGCGTGTCGAAACTGAAAATACTTTGATGGCCTATATACAGTACTTGATGGATTAATGGATCGAATCGTGTAACCGGAACGGGGCCAAAATTATTAAAATACTTATCGTTAAGCACGATCAACGTATGCTCGTTGAAATATTTAACTATAGGACAAAAGATATATTTTATGTGATATAATATAAATAATAAATTCACGAAATGACGCGAATCAATATTAACCTTGCCTCAGAGTGTAGATAGAATTTCATTTCTGAAAAATCATGCTGGCATACGGGCAACGTATTTTAAGCGTGCGTCTGCTGAAAATATCCAAGCAGAGGATCCTCTAACACATGAAACGCACATGTTCACGCCCGTGCCTAATAACTATACATATGAGGATGACAAGGTCTCTCTGCCCACATGAATTACGACAACTAGCCGCCGATATTCGTTCCATTTCCATCCAGATTTAAAACGAAGGTTGTATATCCAACCATTCTCGTCTTACGGAGAAAAGAAGATCGTGCCCTTTTAATTGTTCACATCCGCATGAACATCCGATAGACACCACCCTCGTTTTTTCAACGGTGAGATTCGATTTAACAAAGTACACCTTCCAGCGACACTTCGAGGGGCGAGGCAGATTGGGATCGATTTCATGAAAGGCAGTTCACGGTGGTTTAGATTCACCAGAAGGGGTTCGAGGCGATTTCACGGGGCAGAGAACCGGGGTCCGTGTGAAGGGTTTGTTGCAGCACGCGTTGCATTACCGAATGCGAAGGGTGTGGACCTTGGATCGGTTATAAAACATAGGTAGTGCTTGTGACGACGATAGATTGTCCTTTTTTTTTTTTTTTTTTTTTCTCTCTACCATTCACTGTACGGTCCCTCTGATCTTTCTCCCCTAACCGCTTTTATCTTTCCACGAATGGGGAATGCCTCAGGGGTTGATTGTCGAAAGTTCTTTATATATAGTCCGCGGATTCCTTTCAATTTGCCCCACTGTGAGATGATCCACGCTAATATTTATACATTTCGTCTGCTCTTCTTTGTCTGCCCTAACACGAGGTCGTGATCTTTATTCTTAACGAATAATTTGCCGATTCTTAAGGGTTACTCGATATTCGAGATTGCATGTTTGAATCTTTTACAACTTTGTTATTGATCGAGAGATGCAATGCACGAAATAAATAATACGAATCTTAAAATAATTATTAACATTTTATGCAATCATAATAATAACTAAAAATAGCATAATCTAGAGAAAAATTGTGAGAAATATTCTCGTAAATTAGCGTGGCGAAAATAGATGCATTTCTTTATTCATTCCGGAAACCACGAGCACGAGTTTTTAAATCGTGATTGTATGGTAATGCCCGAAGTGGATCAGCGAAAAACCGCGCGTTTTCCATGTCGAGAACGTTTGCACGACAAGAAGAGAAACCCGTATTCCTTCGGATGGAAAGATGTATCGCGAAACAGGGAGTCTTACGTTTATCAGTCGTGGCACATCGAATACTTACTGCTCTAAATCCAGCATTGGCGGAAGTGCGTGAAGCGTAACTTCTATTATATACTGATTGGTATACCATAGCATGGAGGCAATATACGCACGTTAATCGTCTGCACCGGATGTCGGATCCGACGCACGTTGCAAACGAATATCAAGGACAGTACGCGGGGGGGTTTGTCCAATTCTCAATGGGAAGTAATTTTGTTCGAGGCAAAGACTTTTTAGTCGATAGTATCTATATCTATCTATTCGTCTCTGGATAAATCTGTGTGTATCGGATATTTTCATTTACGTAATAAAAGTCTCTCGTGGACGAGTGACCTATAAAAGTTTGATATCAACTAGAAAATTGATGCTTGATTCCCCTATTTATAAGTACCCTTCATGTTTATGGCTTTATAATAATAATAGAAATTATATATTATATATATATATAAAATATAGAAAACACGATTTTAAAATATTATTAAAAATAATAACGTGCTACTCGAAATTAATTGATATTTACTTTAACATTAGGAATAAGTAAACTATATTTTACACGATGTGTACGTAATTAGCACGTGCAGTAAGATCTCCTCAAAGGTTAGCATTCAATAGCATTCGGCATTATTACAACTTGTGGTTTTATTTTTTGAAAAGATCCGCGTAAAACGATATCCACTGTTCTGTTTCCAGAGCGCGCAAAACAGGCTGTTGATTAAGAACGGCAAGGTGGTAAACGACGATGGGATCACGGACAACGACGTTTATATCGAAGATGGTATCATAAAGTAAGAGTCATTACATGTATATATATATATATATATATGTATATATATATATATATAT